TTTTATTTGATGATCTAAAATTGTTCAACATGATAATGCTATTCAGTAATTTTATAATTTCCAGTTTATTCCATAAACATAACTATAACTTTCGAAAACCTGATAGACAACTGAACACCGAAATAAAAAGTGTTCAATTAAAGCTTACCTCATTTTCGTACTTGACTTTTTTCATATTTCCATTGGAAACGTCCACTAAACTACAATTTACATTCTCCACAGAGCCACTTCTCCGGATATTTCCTCTCGTCACCCTTCTGTCACTCACTCCATTATCTGTTACATCATTACAAACACTGTCACTCAAATTTTTGTTCAAGTCACTATTACTTAATTTACTTTTAGCACTCAGATTTCGAAAACTGTTATCGCCATTATTAACGTTTTTATTTTTATATTGCACTGAGAAATTACTGCCGTCCATTGAATTTAAACTGTTCCTTGTATGTTCTGAATTCACTGTTCGAGTAAATACATTGGAAGCACTATGTGTTTTTGTAAGATGATGCGAATCCGGAGGTTTCACAGACAGCCTTGTATTATGGTTGACATTACTTGCCGATGAACTCAGTTGTCCCATAGTCCGAGGATCTGGAACAAATGAAATTTATTGAAAAAAATAAACATTTTTAAAATTTGCAATAACGTAACAATTTTTCGATCTTACATGTTTCAATTAAATCAGTTCATCATCATAATTCACAGCAAATACAAAATATAGTTTCACAATCATATAAAATATAATCATACAGAATTAAAGACACAACTGAAAGAATATTTGAGAAAGAAAAGTATTAGCTTTCTACTTTTCCATCTTTATACAAATATTAATCTCTCCTAAAAATATACCCCTTTCACTTTATAAATGAATATATTCTAATCCGGCTAACAATTCTGCAGTTTCCAATATTTTCATTTGTTGTATTATTCTCAGCAAGCAAGACATAAGTAATCATAAATGCATTTTGATTGATTGAGCTTGGCGTACGAGAAATAGGTATACATTGACATTATTTTCAGAAGAAAAAAACACAAAAAACTAAGTTTCAAAATCCAAATTTTAGAATTTATATGCAATATAATTTATGTTCATTTTATTAAGGTGAACAGGTGTAATACATTAAAAATCTGTAAACGCTGCATAGCTTTCATCCTTGACATCGTTTTTATGAATTGAGGAAAATAATCTTTGGAAGATATTATATATCATTAACGTTGCTTGATGCTTTCTTGGTCTAAAACCTTCCGCAAAATAAATAAACATATTTGTAAAATGACCGGATTCAACAAAAAATAACTTTTTTACGAATGTATAGAGTTACTTCTTTTGAAATTAATTGCTTTGGAAGATTCCCACACTTTTTGTATCAAGATGGAGAAGTACAAAACAAAAACCTTCCTTTCCCAATTATGAATACAAGTTGATGACTCGTAAATTGAGGTGTAAATTGAGCAGCAACTGTTCGGAGTGAACTTTTCAGTTTTCTCTTTATTGCACTTGAGATGATTCTTTAATAATCTACACTTATTTATTTTTCAGATAGGAGAGACTGGAGAACTGGAAAACATGAAATAATAGTGTTATCTCCTCTAATGCATACACTACCATTACCTAGAAAAAAGTTTGTCATTAAAACATTTTACATACATGAACTTACTTTTACCAAAAAATGTAAACAATGACTTCAGTAGTTATAAAAATTTCCTGTAGGTGGGAGGTAATTTGAACCTTTGTTAGAAAAAAAAATTGAATTTGTATCCAAAAATAGCAAATTGTTTTTAATGACATTTATTTGATGACATATGAAATTATCAAAGTTGTAAGCAAACTCCATTGCAATAATGAATCTCAAAAGACAGTATTTTCAGTTGAAGTATGTATTTAAATGAGTCCATTTTGATTCAGTCTATTTCACGTCGACGTATGGCTTATGAGGTTTGTAATTCATTTTCAAATATACCTTTGTAATTTTTTGATAAAAAACAACACCGTTATCGAGCCTAAACCATAGTATTCACAAGATTTGCCCCCCTGCGACTTTTTCCTGTTCCCAAAATCGAAGAGACCCATGACAGGACGACGTTTTGCGACGATTGAGGAGATAAAACTGAATCGTTGAGANTGGTATATACAATTGGGTACATTTTGGTCACCTAAACTTTAATATTAGTAGGCATAAAATACTCAGCTCTTGGCAAAATTATTGAATACAAGTTACTTATAGAAAAAAGTATATTGGATCAAATAACAAAACGTTCATTAAATTTAGAAATCAATACAAATAAAATCTTACTTCTTTGAGATCAGAGGGAGAATAAGACTGCATTGGAAAAGCTTTGATAACTGTTGGTGATACGGTCTCATCTTTAGATTCCAGTAATGAGTTTCCTTTGTTGGGTTTTCGTTTCACTTTACGTTGCGCAGCAGATATTATAGAAGAAAATAGAGCACCATTCTTTTCTTTCTGGTCCTTTAAAGCTGGAAATATTCACAGAATGACAGTCAGAAAGCACAAAAAAGTAAACCTTCTCACCTTCATATTTGCTAATATTATGCAATAACAAAGCTTGATTGTGGGCGGATTCCAAATCTTCAACGCTGCCACGGACACCAATTGGAACAGGAAGATTTTCTTCATTTTCTTTTTCAGGAAAGAACCAGTCAGCCTATAAATCGCTTACATTCAGAAAACTACATATTTGAATCAATCAAAATAAAAAAAATCATTTGAACTTTAAAGCACCTGATTAACAATTTCCTTCCATGATTATTACTTACATGAGCCAATAAAGTTCCCACAATATTGACCTGATTGTTCATATTGTGCACCATACTTTCCATATTTTCTTCTTCGGGTCGAACTATAGTTGGTCCAAAAACAATTGCTAGATTTTTCGCATCCATCCTGTTCACTTCACAGTTGTCTGCCACCCTCTTCAGATGCATGATGATGTGTTTGAGAGTGTGATAATTATGCTTGGGTAATTCTCCCAGCAACCTACGCAATTGTTCCATCCTTTCTTTGGGATCCTCTATTTTATCAGCTTCAATGAATCTTGATGAAAGTCGGACTGTTATCAAGGAACCCGGCATTTTCCTTAAGAAAGACTTTAACAAGCTGCTAACCACATGCAGATCAGACCACCTAGGATCTTCCAAAGGTAATTCTTCATAATTTCTGTTGATTTCCTCAGTAAGGGCAGTTATGGAAGCATTGTTTCCTGGCACTCGGTAAATACCGGTAGTATGCAATCCTCTCTCATCAATGATATCAGTGCAAACTTCGACTAACCTCGGTAAGTACACGTTACTTGATGATGGTAAACAATCCTCTATGGGTATACCAAAAGTAGATCCTTCTGGTGCTGTAGGGGAACTTGGACTATTTCCTCCCTGATTGAATTTTCTGAATTGTTTCACCATCCTTCCTCGCCACGTTTTCGATTTAGGACTCGTTGATGAGGAATTGGGAAGTTGGGATGGTTTCCTACTCTTGCTAACAGGAGATTGACCAGTTGGGGAACGATTCCGTGAACTTGCAGTTTTTGATTTATTCAACTGTGGAGACAGATGACTTCCTTGCACCTGGATAGTTGTTGAGGCTGGTACCATCTGTGGCACTGCCTGTTGCTTACTGCTGAGAGGTTCCTAGAAGAAAAATAATGGTTTAGAAGAATATTGGGGTGCATCTGAAAGTAAACAAATTGCTGTGCAAGATAATTTCCATTTTTGTATTTAATTTCTGGACGCATCAGAAATATTTTTTATTTGGTTAGAAATTAGAGAGGTGTGTCAGTTAGTGGAGAATGTCATGGTGACCACCTTTATATACCAAACAATTTTCTATAATTCATCAATAATGTGTATTGGATACAACATTTAAAGAGATTATCACATTCTGCAAATCATGATATTATACTCAGAACCCATTTTGTGCCAAACAGAAGAATGACAAATAATTATTATATAAGTTATTAGTTGTGCTCAGTTGTGCACTACCTAAATCCTAAATATATCTTCTGATATTTGATTATATACATTGAAATTCTGATATTCACTTTACGCCGTTACTCACCACTCGAAAATCTTCATAATTTTCTAGAAAATCAAAGGCGGAGTTATTCATGTTTGTTTCATGATGTGATCATATGGTACTGAATACTTATCAGATATTTGAGATATATCTCATAATTTAATTGCCAATAAAATAACTAAATTCAAGTGTGGGTATTGATAAAGATAACAGATGAAATTAAATAATCCTTGTCGTAAATTATGAACCTTAGAACTTAGAAAGAAAAGTGAAGAGAGTGTTTTTTAGTGTTGTAGTGAAACGGTAATGTTGAACTGTATTAAGTACAAGAAACCAGGAAAAAAAACTGAAAATGCCAATATATGAATTGACTAAAATACTTATGAAGGTAGTTGTATCATTTTATGAATTATGCAACAAATAAATGATAAAAATATATCAAAAGAGTTCCAGTCTCCAGATTATCATGAATAATTTTTTCCTACAAAGATATATGACAATTAGGAGAGGGTGCCTTTTTGCGGTCCAAACTTTTGTTCAATTTTTGGTTCATATAAATGGAATCAATCCCATTTTGTTTCTTGTTCTATCGATAAATTATCCTATCAAATATCAATCTATATACTTTACATTGTTTCATACCTGGCAAAAGTAATTCCTTATATAATTATTTATATTTTAGATGACAGCTGATTTTACATGTTACATGAATCACATGATGGGCAAAATTAAGAAAAGGCAATGATCTCTTATAAAAAAGGCAATCTATGAGATCGACAAAAGACTCAATTGACGAATATCAGAGATGAATGAGGCTCCCTGAGAAGATCAATTGCAATGCCAAGCTTCTTCATCGACTGACGTACGAGATTAATTATTCGTCTTTCACCACAGCTTTCACTATAAGGCAACTAGATTGATTTTACATTTTACATAAATCAAACTTTCAATTAATTATAGAAAAATCGCTATAGATATCTACTGTAAAACGAAATGCCAATTCACTATTTATCATTCAGAAATATAAATAATGTAATAAAACTCGCTGACACTTGCCATTATAAGGTATTCAAATATCACTTTATTGTGAGATTTTCACTCAATAGATTACAAAATCGAGACATGTGTTTCACTAAACAACAGCTTCTTCAGGCGTGTTCAATACTAGTGAGTATAAAGTGTTAGTTATTTGAATATGTTAATGAAAATAAAAACATAATCAAAAGTCTCACAATACAAATAACCCTCTAATAAAAAACATTTTTAATCAACAATTATGTTTCATAAGACATTGTTTTAACCTAGAATCTAAAGCAAATATTAATGTATTAACTAACTTGAAAACAAGACGTATATTCAATATTTAACAATACAAAAAAATATTGTTGAGTTGAGTTGGAAAAACAGAAAATGGCACTGAATACGTACTTATTTGTTTTGAGATTTTTACTCAAAATAATCCAAATCTTTGAGGTAGATGTTGGATAAGGAAATAGACTGAAGTCTATCCAAATCCAAGAATTTTTCAGAATATTCTAGATATATTTCGTGTACAATATCTTCAATTGCTTCGGAAATATTGAGTATTATCAGATTACTTGCAAAAAATATTAAAAAAATAACATTATTTGATTTAGAGTAATTCTCTACATTACACTTAAATACTAATGAGGGTATTTCTTGACACAATTTTGAAACCGAAAAAAAAGTTAATGTCAATGTAGTACCTAGATGTTCACAATCCTTGCCACGAACGTCTTAGCAACTTCTTAATATCAATAATAAATTACTATGTTACTCAACATCTCAGTTATGAGCGATCTAATCGCAAGTTATTGGGCCTGCCGAGTTAGCAAAGTCGATGGTTTTGGTTTTATATATAATACTAGTCTCATGGTGTCAGATCAGGGGATCTGGCTGGTCATTCTATCGATCCTCGCCTCTCTATTCACCGGTTGATTTGTTAATGGGGTGGTCCTTTTATTTGATGAAATTATATTACATTCGCAGGGTACCTATAACTTTGTATAGTTTGTCACGACTTTATTTTTAGCAGTAATAAATAATTATAGCCATTCAAATCGCCATCAATTGAAACGGGATTTAGAAACAAACATTTATCTTTTTCATAGTAAAGCGCGTATGTCTTCTTTAATTTAGCGAGAAGAATTTTTCCCAGACTCCTAGTCCCATTGCAAAAATTTTGACGATTAGTATGACCGTAAGCAAAACACGTTCTTATCGTGTTTGCTAACATTGCCATTTGTTCACAAAAATACTTTCTCCTATCCAAAACCCTTTATATGAGCTTCTGTGTCACTATCATTTTATGGGGATGCATTTCACTTTCTTTTATTGGTTGAATGATCGATGAATGGCTAACATCAATTATAAATATTAATAAATGTTGGGGCTGCTTTTCGACTAGAAGTATGTGGATTTTCCTCAAACTTTAGCATAAGATAAAATTTTATATCAGCAATCATTGCATTGGCAGTTTCTTTTTTTTTTCAGTACGGCAAATGTGTACATTTTTCAGAAAATAAGCAGGCAATTATCATTTGTGTCTATTTGTTACCTTTATTAGTATCTATCTGTACAATTGTGAAGTTGTGCATTTCTATTAAAAGAACCATTTTTCTGATAGGCAGTTAATAAAATTCACACGACTGACAGCTATTGTCATGCAGTCGAACATCAATTTGCTAGTCGTTTTGAAGTACCTAAAGTGAAAATTATGAGCAAAAGTATTTATTTTTTTATTTCNTTTTTTTTGTTCACAGTAACCGAAATAATGAATTTATTCCATTTGGCTTTTACACAATGTATATCGTCATTTGCAAACACCTTTTCAACAGAGTATCAATGTACTTGTGATGCACTGTTTTGAACCTTTGATGGAGAAATGAATATTACTGGAGTTTTTTTATTTTCCTCTTGAAGATGATCACTTGGTGATCGAAACACGTATCGAGGTGTTAAAATAACGGTTCGGTGTTGGGAAAAACTCCAGTAATATAGAGTATCCATGATATACGAAGAATTTTGATGTATGAGAGCGTTATAATTAAGAATAATAATCTTTTCGTTAACAGAAAAGGTACATTTTCTGATTCGTTTTACTGGAGAGAAAACTGAAGTAGCCATTTCAATCAACATACTAAGTATAATTTCATATCTTTCAGGTAATAAAGTACCTAATCAAAGCACTGTTACATCGGATCGAATCATGACGTCATCTTTTAATTATTAATATGAGCGTTCCATATTTTTGTTACTCACCGTATACAGACAACTATAAAGAGTATTTTCGAGATTTGTTATATCAAATCAAACAACAACATTGATTGTTTGAAATAAATTCTACATATTTCACTTTCTAACCGACTCCATTATGTACGCCTATGGAACAGACACCCGAAAATGGTTTATTACTCCGCTGTCTAAGGAAATAGACTGAAGTCTATCCAAATCCAAGATAGAGTAAAACAAAACAAAACCGAAGCGTGATGTTCACGTGATCGCCCAGTGTCAGATGGAAAGGGCAGCGTTCATTGGTGAATTCGCCTTCTTGGTACGAGTTCGGTACCAGCACAGGGTTGTAATCAGTCGTTTGCATGTTTGTGTGGCGTGCGTTATAGTATATTGTTTAAAATTGTTTTCCAAGAT